ACTTGGGGCCCACCCCCACATTCATTGGGGGTCTCTTTTAGCCTCTGGGTCCGGTGCTGGTTGGTGTTTAGAATGTAAACTTCATCACACAGCCGGGCCGTTTCCTTCCACTGCCCCTAGAGGGCAGCCTGCAGTAACGATCCCCCTGAGCCCTCTAGTGGTCACTAGGAGGCTCCAACACTCCCTCGGGCATCAATGTTCCCAGGAACACTCTCAAAGCCCTGCAGATGTTGCCCAGGGAAGCAAGAACGTGTGACACACCTAGAGTCACCCTCTTAGCTTCCCTTTAGTGCTTCTGGGACATGTTCACTAGCTCTGCCCCAACTCAAGATGACTTCTCAAACCTGCCAAGTGTGCACTCTCGGAGGCTACAGGGTAGATTCTATCACTAAATTTCAGGAAGAATCAAATACAGGTATCTAGAAGATGTGACAGCGAGTCCAAAATTTATTTTTGTATGTCCCCCCAAATGCACAGGGTGACTTATTTAAATTGATTCCCAGAAGCAGCTCTGGATATCTTATACTTCCCCAAGGTAAATATTTAAATAGCTGTAGTAATAATCTTAGGTTACATGGGGTAGTATGATTATGATTTTCTGGGAAGTTTTTAGTTATATTTAGAGAGCATATTTAAATAACATTGGCAAACTTTGCATAGGCTAATGCCGGGATGTTATCAATTTTTTTTCATGATTTTAATATAATCATGATGACATAGTACTTATTTCCTTGTTATTAATTTAAAATAACAACAGGTTATTCTTATTATTTTGGAATACAAATATGAGTATATATTTACATATACTTTGACATGTGTATTTTGGTTATCAGATATAGATAACAAGCATATGTCTATTTTACTGCCTCCACTGGATTTTGCTGATATTGTTTTATTAGTGTGTATAGCATAGGCTAATTTATTTAGAAAAAAAATAAAGCTGCCGCTTTTAAGTAATTGCAATAGAAAATACTGTCACTAAGTCTTCATGGCAAAAGATATAAATTCTTAATAAAATAGGCAATGACATTTTCACTAGGGATATCCTGTTAAAAACTACCCTGTTATTCATTTAACTATTATAAACAAATCAAAGCAAATTTGATTTGCTGAGAAAATATTTACAGAATGACTCAGTACAGTGGTAAGCACTGTAAAGATGCAAATAGGAATATGACATGATTCCTGTCTTCAAAGTTCAGGGGAGAATAAAGGCAAGAATCTAAATAACTTTTTAAAAAGACGTAACAGTGAAATTCCATCATCTTAACAAAACAAACTACCATAAAAGAGAAAAATTACACTTTAAATAGTGCTGGCAATACTGCCCATCATTCCTTTCGGTGATTGCCTCGAATGAGCATGACGGGAAGCATGTGAATCTGTGGTTCCCTCAGGTTGTCTCTGTTCTGGGTGCCTCTCAGATGTGAGCATATCACTGAGTTGAATGTGATTCTAATTTTTAAAGACATGCATATATGCATTTTTCATGTAAAATGGACCCTAAAAGCAAGCCAACTACTTCATCTGGTGCTCAACCAAAGAAACAGGAATCTGTTCCAATGCTGGAGGAAAAACTGGCTGCGCTGAACTAACTCGTGGTCTCCAGTGGAGTGCCTGTCGAAGGACTTTTCCAGGGTAATTTCGATTATTCATGATTTTCTTGTCTCTGATTTTAGAATCTAATAGGTGTGATTCTGTTGTAAGACAAGTATCAGAGAAATTACACACAGCCTGCAAGGGCCTTGGGTTCTGAGTTAGGGGGTTTGACTTTGTTTAGCCATGCAGTTGGAGTCTGTTAAAGGTTTCTGAATAAAGAAGGCTATAACACTGGGTTTCAGAAGATCAATTTGAAAATAATACTCTAGATGGACTGGAAGATGTAAAAACCAAGGCAGAAAGGCAATTAAGAAGCTCTTATAATTGTAGAGGTGAATAAGAAATAATGATTGTTAGACCTGGGGTGGAGATAGAGTAAGTTACACTTTTTGATTGACTAGGATGGATTAGAAATGGAGATTTTAAGTTTGGGTGACCATGAGGTTGATGGCTGCTTTAACAGAGTTAGAGAAATCAGAAGAACTGGTTTGGGTTAGGAAGATGAGTGGATGGAATATGAGGAACTGTGGGAGATCCTGGTGGAGATTTTCAACAATGGGCTGGAACTGCAGGAAAGAATTCTTAAAATGTTTGGTTTGGGCTTCATTCTGTTTAGAGACAGCAGTTGAAATCACAGGAGTAGCCAGTATGGCTAAATTAAGATCAACTCTGTAGAAAGCAGGGAGAGGTCCAAGTGTTGGTTCTTGGGGGATTACCTGTCTTTGGAGACCAGAGGAAGGAAAGAAGCCATTAGGAAAACCAAAGAAGGAACATTCAGGAAAAAAAAAACTTTCAGGGAAAGAGAATTTTAAAAGAATTCTAAAGAATTTAAAAGGAACGTAAAAATGTTGCTACAAGTTCAAGAATTATATAGAATATAATGAACTAATTTTGGAGGTAAAAGGAAAGAAAGAAAATAATAGGTAAATAAGAGAAGAAATATTTTTAAAAATAGGACAGGGGTAAAATAATTTCAGGAAAAAGAGACAGCAAATGATTTAAATGCTGCTGAAATTTCAAGGAGAGATGGGTCGTGAATGGGAGAGGTGGAAGTTTAACCCAAAATTAGGATATGTGGTCTATCCAAGGATTCTTTTCTGATTTGTAAACTTGTGTGAGACTAACAAATATGTAACCATCAGCTCATATTTACACAATTCATTCTGTATTTGCTCAAAATAATACAAATATAGGAAACTGGGATTTTCTCAGAAATGACTACCAATGTAGTCATTGGTGACCTTCTAAGGGAGCAGAGGCCAGAGTCAGATTGCAAGCCAAGGAGTGAAGTAGAGTTGAATAAATATAGATTTTGCTTTCGAGAAATTTAGTGATGAGAGCTAGGAGAAGAATATATATGGTTAAAAGGTAGGAAAGACCTGGAACACTGCTCACACCAGCCTGGTGGTCTCATTGCAGCCTTTGGATTATCTTTCAGTTAGCCTTTGGTGTATTCTTTCAGCCTTTTCCTATTCATGTGCTATTTTGAAATCACTTGATATGCCATAGATGTGCAGTCCTAAAACAAACTGGAAAATATCATAAAGCATTTGCTGTCACGTGAAACTGGAAATACACAGAAACTACATTTAGTGCACAGTCTGAGTGGAGAATTCACACAAGGGTTCTGTCAAAGAAGATGGCTGCCGTGACTTTAATAACTTCTAAAGTATCTTCAAAGTTTCTTCTCTCTGTGAAATATTATGATTCTTTGCATGTTAGTCCAGAAGTCTTTGAAATAGTGGAGTGGTGGTGGTGGGGGGTGGTTCAGATGCTTCTCTGGCAGAGATATTTCTCACTGCAGACACATGAAAATCGGGTGGTACTGCAATACTAATCCTTCCCTGAGTGCTCCAGCCCATTTGTGGAATATGACTTTCTTGATTGAGCGATATTTTCCATTGAGCCCATTCAGGCACTTAACAACACTTATTGATCATAGAGAATTAGCTATAGCTTTTAGAGCATATTAGGTTTAATGAAATCTGAAACATGATCGCTATCCTTAAGGGAACAAGTCAGACAAACTGGGAGGAAAATGTGTTGGAAACCTTTGTCTTAAATAAATCAGATAATGTGAGCAAAGCTCACATCTCACATTCTGAGACAAGGAGCTGAATATAGTAGTAGTCACCACCACATGACAGTTTTATAATTTAAAATGCATAATATCCACATCACACAGGGCCTGGAGATGGAGCAGGTAATATATTTTTATGCTTCTTCCAGGAAATATCCCATCCTTCCTCCTCAGAATCCCCAGCTCAAGGAGGGCCAGGATGTAGGATTTTCAATACTAAAACTGGGAGAGTTCTGGGCCAACTGGGACGAGTTCGTAACCCCTGTTTGGAGCAAGGCTGTCTGACTGTATGTGTCCTTCCATCCTGTAGGAATCTCCCTCTCTCCTAGCCAGTCTTTCTCATTTGGTGAAGACCGTGACACCTGACTCACATTCTTTTTCCCGTAACCACCCCTGGTTCATGTAGAAAATCCAACCACTCCCTGGTTTTTAGTTCCTTGACCTTTTTTCTTTAAATTTTCCCTCATCCTTCCTTCCAACTTTAACTTCCAATTCTTATGGTCAAACCTTAGATTTTGTACTTATGAGTAACTATACGATCCTTAAAATTTCAGTTCCTGACACCCCCTCACCAGCCACCACTCCGTTCTTTTCAGCTCACTACCTCCATGGCAATTCTTCAATCACACCGAGGCTTCCAATCCATTCATGACACCATTTTTATTATTTTTAAAGGAAACTCTACTCCCAACATGGGGCTCAAACTCACAACCTTGAGATCAAGAGTCATATGCTCTACCGACAGAGCCAGCCAGGTGCCCCTAATGACACCATTTTTAATGCCCACCACTTTCTAGTTCCTGTCTTTACTTCCTACTTGTTCAGATTAGATTCCATTGTTCAATTACTTGCAAACATCCTCCTTGCCTACTCTCTGTCTTACTCAATGACAGAAATCCAATATTGGTTAATCCCAACGATTTGCAAAGGGGTAGTATAGTTTAGTGGTTAATGGTGTGGCTTCTGGACCTATACTCTTTTGAATCCTGGGTTCAGAATTTACTAGCTCTGTGATCTTGGATAAGTTTCCTAACAGCTTTGTGCCTGTTTCCTCATCTGCACCTGTCTCATGGGGTTGTTGTTGACTCAAAGGTATTAAAAAAATTTTTTTTTAAGTTTATTTATTTGTTTTGAGAAGACAGAGACAGTGTGAGTGGGGGAGGGGCAGAGAGAGAAAGAGACACAGAATCCGAAGCAGGCTCTGCACCGTCAGCGAGGAGGAGTCAGACGTAGGGCTTGAACCCATGAAACCGTGAGATCATGACTTGAGCCAAAACCAAGAGTCTGATGCTTAACCGACTGAGCCACTGAGGCACCCCAATTCAACGGTATTAATAGGAGTAAAATGCTTACATCAGTGCTTGGCACATAATAAACAATCAATAAATGTTTCTCAAGCTTGTAGTTTGATTGCTGGAGGAAAACACCTAACTATTCTGATTGATCTCTTTTAAAGTTTATGACTGTTTGTCTCAAGTGGGCCTCAGTGCAGTCTTTGCAATTCAGTCGACCACAGTTCCTATTTCCTTATTGATTTATTTTCTCTCTCAGGGATTACTATTTCACCTCCTCTTCTTGCTTCTCAAATTTCCAACTCCTCGCTTCTGCTCCTCACTCTCAGTGGATGATTTTGCTTCTTATCTCACTGAGAAAAAAATCAGAAAATAACATTATTTTTCCACCACCCAGTCTACCCACCTCTGTAGCCTTCTGCTTCAATGAAAGTGTCCCTTTCCCTATTTTAGGACAAGTCTTTACGTGGGCACTGGACTCCATCTCTTTCTACTTTCTTAAGAACTTTACTGCTATAATTATCTCTTTCTTGTCTTGCATGATTACATGTCTCCTTTGTTCTCTGCCATTGGTGCTATAATATTAATGAACAATCATAAACAAAAGAGGGGTAGGGGCACCTGGTTGGCTCAGTTGGTTAAGCGACTGACTTCGGCTCAGGTCATGATCTCACAGTTTGTGAGTTCGAGCCCCTTGTCGGGCTCTGTGTTGACAGCTCAGAGCCTGGAGCCTGCTTCAGATTCTGTATCTCCCCCTCTCTCTACCCCTCCCTTGCTCACGCTCTGTGTCTCTCTGTCTCTCAATAATAAATAAATGTTAAAAAAAATGTTTAATGAAAAAATAAAAAAATAAAAAAGAGGGGCACCTGGGTAGCTCAGTCAGTTAAGTGTCCAACTTTTGATTTTAGCTCAGGTCATGATCTGACCTTGGTTCGTGAGATTGAGCCCCATGTCGGGCTCTGCAGTGGCAACTTGGAGCCTGCTTGGAATTCTCTCTCTCCCTCTCTGCCTCTCCCTCTGTGCATATGCACTCTCTGTCTCTCAAAATAAATAAATAAACTTAAAAAAATACATTAAAAAAGGGAGAAAAGAAATCTCCTTTCCTTCTATGCCCCTGGTAGCTATCAAATTACTGATGCAAACCTCAATGTCTCCATGGACATTGAGCTGAGGCTCCCATCTTCATGACAATTTGAACCAAGTTTTTATTTCACTATTTCACCAAAACCACACCTCTATGAGCCAACAGTAGCATCTATCTGTCAAGTCTCATGATCTGTTCTTTGTCTTCATCATCCTTTGCTCAGCACCAGTGTTTAACATAATTGGTCACTTCTGTCTTCTTGAATTTTTGTTTCACTTGGTTTCCGGACACTGTACTATTTTGAATTATCATCTATCTTTCTTCTCAATCTCCTTGACTGGATTCTCCTTTGTACCTTTAAATGTTTTTGAAAATGATGGAGTGCTCCAGAGCTCAGTCTTAGGCTCTCTCAAGCTTATGGAAGTGATTGGAGTGAGCAAAACCAGGAGAAATTGATTTCATGGGTTTCATACGAGGCAAGAACTGTGTTGAAAAGAAGTGAAAAAGCGTAGTTTGTATGAAAGAGGAAAGCCATTTATAATGATTTTATACTGAATTTTACTTAATATCAGATTGTTTAATGGAAGCAATTTTACTGTAATAAATGTTTTCTGAACACTGGCAGTGGAAAGGGGTGGGGGAATCAAAACTGAAACAGAAAAATTCTTGCCAACACAGTCCTGAAAGTTGTCTGGTTATTGTCCTAATTTAATTAATGGAAAATTAAGAGCTAAATCAATACTGGAACTCCAACCAGAATCTTGGTGGTTCCTGGTCTTCGATTAAGTTGATTAAGTTATTTGCCTCCCAGATTGAAATACAATAAAGAGTAAAGTGTGCCTAAATTACAAGTTTAAAGGGCATTCAAGTGGAAAATTGCTGGAAAGGGTAATAAAATAGCAACCACAAAAATACAACTTTCCTTGGCATTTTCAACTTTACTACCTCAGAGCTACTAAAGGACCTATTTTTGTCTTTTTCAACAACAAGATCTCAGATTTTTCAGTCAGCCACTCCTTGGGTTTTTGTATTGGTACAATTGGGTTTTCTCCTTGGAAACTGATTTTTAAAGAAGAACAGAGTATAGATTGATAATGCAATTTTATTATTAAATTCCCAAGGCTGACACTGAAAAAACTCACATTTAAAAAATTTGTAATAATAAGGGTGCCTGGGTGACTCATTTAGTTAAGTGTCCGACTTTGGTCAGGTCATGATCTCACAGTTCATGAGTTTGAGCCCCACGTCAGACTCTCTGCTGACAGCTCAGAGCCTCGAGCCTGCTTCGGATTCTGTGTCTCCCTCTCTCTCTGCTCTTTCCCTGCTCACATGCTGTCTCTCTCTCAAAAATAAATAAAGATAAACAAAAAACAATTAGCCCTTACAAGTTGCATTTTTCATTCCTTCCAATGACTAGATGAGGTGGTGTTATTATCCTTCACAGACAGAAACTGAGATTCAGAGAGGTTTTAAAATTTTTCTAAAGAAATGAGAGGGGAGGGGCACCTGAGTGTCTCAGTTGGTTAAGTGTCCAGCTCTTGGTTTCAGCTCAGATCATGATCTCATAGTTCGTGGGTTTGAGCCCTACATTGGGCTCTGTGCTGACAGTGCAGAGCCTGCTTGAGATTTTCTCTCTCTCTCTCTCTCTCTCTCTCTCTCTCTCTGCCCCTCCCTGATCACTCTCTCTGTCTCTCAAAATAAAGAAATAAACTTCAAAAAAAAAAATAAAGACGTGAGAGGGGGGCTCCTGGGTGGCTCAGTCACTTAAGCTTCCGACTCTTGGCTTTGGCTCAGGTCATTATCTCACAGTAGGCGAGATCCAGTCCTGCCTTGGGCTCTGCACTAATAGCATGGAACCTGCCTGGGATTCTCTCTCTTCCTCTCTGTCTGCCCCTCCCCTGCTTGCATGTGCTCTCCCTCTCTCTCTCTCTCTCTCTCTCTCTCTCTCTCAGAATAAGCAAACAAACAAACAAACAAACAAACAAACAAACAAATAAATGAGACATGCTCCCAGTCCTCTTACCTCCAAAGGGAAAAGAGAAGGAAACAATTAAGTACCAGATACTATGCCTGGACCTTTTGTGTAACTATCTTGTTTAATTAAAAGTAAGAGTTAAGAAATAGATTGTAATATGAGATTTGTGCTTAGCACTTTGTGTTTTAAGAATACAAGTCTGAATGGCATTTCAAATGAGAGATTTGCAGTATCACACATAAAATGCAATGCTTAAATCCTTGACCCTGTAGAGAGCTAAAAGAATTGTTATTTCACATCAAGATTTTTCCTCTAATGACTACTGAAGCATTTCTTCTTTTCAAAGTAGCTTATAAAACTGTTAGCCCTCACTTAAAACTAGAGTTTTTGAGAATTAGGTACTTGATCTGCATATATATGGTGCAACCATACTGATAGCCTTCCCCATTTTAGCACTCAAATACACAGCAAGTGTAGGACATGTTCAGCTTCTTGTTTGACAGTGGTGTCTGTAGGGATCTTTATGTCCATTTGTTCTTTACAAGTGATGTCTATTTCTTTTTGGAGTCAAGCACACTGTGTGAATATCTTGAGGTGAGTGCCTAAAATGTGGCCAGATAAAAGAGAAATAAAGGTTTGTCTAGTAACACAGGAATTGGATTCCAAAATTTTTTTTGTTAATGATTTATAACAAATTCTCCCTCTGGGCTGCTGCTAACTCTCCAGCAATCAGGTGTTAATGTTTTAGATAAAAAATAAAGTCCAGGCAGGGAGGTGAGTGGGAGCTGAGAATGGAGAGTGGACAGGAGTGAGAGGGAGAGAAGCCAGACTAAAAACACCACACTGGGAGATCTAAGTCATCTTGGATAATGTTAATTTTCTTGCTTTATTCTTTTTACTTCTATGTCAGGTTAAGTACCAGTTTAGATTTTTATTTGCTTGAAGAAAGACAATTTTAGAAAAAAAAATCATATCTAAGTCCCCCCCCCCCAAATTAAAAGTATAGATATAAATATAGAGACAAATTTTCTTTTATCCACTGGGAGTTTTAAAGATTGATTCAGGGATGAAAGCCCCAAAACAAGAACTTGGTAGTTGACAACCTTAGAAATAAATGGGCATCACTACTTATAGTGCTAGTCTGGATGTCTTGAGGAATACCTGCGTTATTTTTACTCAGGAGTTTATTACTGTGGCCAAACAAATACTCTTGTGAAACATGACTGATTCCATTCAACAAACATGGTTGAATGCTCAATATGCACTGTGGTTGGTGTTAAGTATAAAAGGATGAATGAGATAGTCTTGATTTTCAAAGTTTGCAGCCGTAGGAGTAGCAGGCAGGTAAATAATTATTAATAATTATTCATAAGGAGTTAAATTCCACATTAGGTTATGAGCAAAGTATCATGGGAGCACAGAAGGAGAGAGTGTTTAACTCCACAGAAGGGAAATTCTGTACTCTATGCTTTTCTTTGGTTTGTATGGAATACACAGTAGTCTGAAAAGTACTTTGAAAAGGTATGTTAGAGGGCAGGGTTCCCCCAGGGTTCCCCATTTGGTTCTACCCACTGATTTGAGAGAATGAATGAAATATCTTTTCTCTCCTCTCTTGCCCCTCAGAGTTCCGTTCAATGTCCTGCAGATGGCATGACCTCCCAGACTGGCCTTCCCGAGCATTTTCTCCACCTTGAAATGACCTGTACACTTCACTAGTCCTTACGTGTCTTTCAGGAGGGACTATCCTGTGCCCAGCAAGTACTTGGCACATTGTAGGCTCTCAGTACATTTTGGTTAATTGAAATTGGTTAAGAAGAAAGAAAGATACGTGGTGCTCTGACCTCACCCAAACAACCTTATTTCCGTTTCTGCCTCCTTGGCATTTTTGCTTTATGATTATGGATATTAAAGGAAATCCTTCCTTAGTAAGTTTTTCAGAAACTGAGCTAGAATCACGTTAAGGGTTTCCTTAATCCTCTAAGTTTGAAAAGAAGGATAGAAAAACCAATGCCTCCAGCTTTCGTCCTCTTTCACCTCTCACCCTCTTTACAGGGTCCTTCTTTATTAGGACAGCCTCTAATAAAGATATTAACTTTGTATTTTTATTTATCCATAACATAGACATACTTCATCTGGTTTCTGTATTATATGGGTTAGTCCTCTGGATAATAATTGCTGTTTGACAGAAATTCCAGACCAAAGGTTCTAAAATAATGTATCGTTAAAAGAAACTAGGATTGGTGGCCAAGAATTCAATCACATTTCTTTTCTGATAGAATCAAAGCCATCTCACTAATTAGATATTTTCTTCCACAAGATGGCGCTGTAGTTCTTCCAGTTATTTGAAGTTTAGCAGCTCATGGTTTTATCTTTTAAAGTATCTCCCATGTCCCCCTTATTTCTTTATATATAAAAGTGACATATAAGAAAAAAAATGTAAGATTGTCACTTCGTAAGCCAGATTTACTATCTGATTTTAGAGAGGTTCATAGGAATAGCCATAGAATAGCCAATAACAGGGATTAGTACACAATGAAAAGTTACCAGCAATGAGATAAAATAGACATTTTTTTTGCACGAGTTTTTCTTTAAACAATTGTTTATCAAGAAAAAGAAGGGGTGCCTGGGTAGCTCAGTTGGTTGGGCTTCCGACTTCAACTTAGGTCATGATCTCACGGTTCGTGGGTTCAGGCCCCACCTCAGGCTCTGTGAGACAGCTCAGAGCCTGGGGCTTTCTTCTGATTCTGTGTCTCCCTCTCCTTTCCCTTCATCCATTCTCTCTCTCTCTCTCTCTCTCTCTCTCTCTCTCTCTCTCTCAAAAATAAATAAAGATTTTAAAAAATTAAGAAAAGGAAAGAAAAAGAAAAATTGGGGGTGCCTGGGTGGCTCAGTCGGTTGAGCGTCTGACAGTAGCTCAGGTTATGATCTTGTGGTTCATGGGTTCCAGTCCCACGTTGGGCTCTGTGCTGACAACTCAGAGCCTGGAGCCTGCTTCTGATTCTGTGTCTGCCCCTCCCTTGCTCACACTCTGTCTCTCCCTAAAATAAATAAATACTAAAAAAAATTTTTGAAAAAAAAATTGTTAAGCACAGTCTAGCTCAAATATGAATTATGAACTATTGTAAAAGCATTATGAGTAAATTTTAATATTCTTTAGTACTACTTGTAGTTTTAGAGTTTGAAATGAGTGAGTTTTTAATTAACTTGGGTATTTTCTTATTGTTTATCCTCATGTGGAAAAGCATCTTATATACAGGACTAATTTTTTTCACTAAATAATTTTGGGGTTTAATCACATCCTCAGGTTTGTTATAAATATTTTTTAGTTTTGCTTTAAAGACTTACCCAAATTTGCAAATGAATTTGCAGTAGAATCAGTGTATAATGATTCTGAGCCCTGTTTTGTGCAAAACACAGTTTCAATCAGATCTATCCAGGAAAAAAAAAATTCACTATTACTTTCTAATGATCTACTAAATCTGAAACAAAAAGATTATTACTACTAATATGTTCAGAAGACTTGTATTTAAAATATTTGGGGAGTGAATTATTTTTGAGATTCTTTTTGATCATATTGGGTCCCTTCAATGAAAATTACATACTGACCCAAAATGCTACAGATTTTGGTTAATGCTCTAACATAATCTCCTTGTTAGAATCATAAATTCATTAAATAAAAAGTTCAACATGAAGAGAAATAAGTTATGGTGTGCAATCTTTAGTTATGTCTAATTGCAATGAGTTTGTAATGCATTTACATTTATAAAATCACTTATCAGTGTCTGAGACAACAGTCTGTGTTTACAACTTGCACATTTGTAAGGAGTAAATTAGTTAATGTGCTAATTAGAAAACTTCCCTAGAAGAGAAAACAGGTTGTGATTCTCTTTTATCCCTTTACTCCCATTTGGATCATGTAGTGGTGAGTAGATGGAAAAGCCACGGTTAACTTTAAAATTGCTAAATATGTATTCGGTATGTCCTTACTTTAGTTGGTGCTTGAAATATTTAAGCCATTTATACTCCCATTACTACCACTATTACTCATCACTTTTCTTGAAGGTCCACTATGTGTCAGGCATGTCAAGCATGTATGTGATTCACACAATGATGTTGTGGACCAGGTACTATTGTTTTGCTTTCACAGATGAAGACACTGAGGCTTGGGAGATATTAGATAATATTCCAAGGGCCAGGTGGCTGGCGAGTGTGGCTAGGATCTGAGTGTAAGTTTCCGTGACTCCAGAGCCTGTTAACCATTTTAACAACTTACATGGTGTATGTAACTTTTAACCACTAACATATTATAGTGTGTGTAACATATTATAGTGTGTAACTGCCATGTCATGTGGCTTCTGGTGAAGTCTACCAGTTTAATATGCAATATTATGTTCTTAATATGTAAAGAATAGTTCAGGATTTCTAACTGTGCTATTTAGGAGACACACGGTGAGGGCTTTTGCAAAAGGGATTTGTTGAGTTACCATGATACAGCCAGCAAGCAGAGCACATGAAGGGACTTCCAGACATTTAGAAGATAGTGATAAGAGGCGGACAGCCAGGTATAAGGAAGCTCTTTTTCTTCCTTCCTCTCACCCTTAACTCTCTGGTGCCTCACTTTGTCAGTGTGCCAAAGTACAAGCTAACCGAGGCTCTGCTGGAATGATCCTGACTGTATTAATTTTAGATATACTTAAAACCCACCAAATTCATTGCTTCCCAACAGACTTAGTCAAAAGATGAAATGTTTCTCTACTAAAATATTGTTATATCTTAAAAGAAATGAGGTTTTTGTTATACTCCATAAGCTAAAATTGTAACCTAAGGGCTTTTTGTGTCATTTACTAGGAGAGATTTTCCACATTCGGGTGAGATGACTGTGGTAAAGTCAAGTCTTTAGAGAGAAATAAAAATTTTAAGGCTTATTCTAAGTTGCCCCTAACCCTAAAGACTCTTCGATTCCCTGAATGATGCCGTTTTTCAGCTGGGCTGTACCTAGCTCTGTGCAAGGCACACGGAGAAACCCAGAGCGAAGCAGCACACACCTGCTGATAGAAGCTTTCCTGAACTGAATCATTCTTTCCTTCAGTCAGTCATTCATCCATCTGTCCAGCCACCATTTGATGGCTACTTCGTACTTGTAACAAACTCAGCTCAATATTTAGTGACCCATCTGTTACGGGTACTATGTGAGTTAACACAAACCTTAACTTACACACCAAATTAAAGAATCAATTTTGTGTGTTGGCCTCAGTATGTGATTGTATCTTTTGTGGTACTGATGATTCAACCCTTTGGGGCTGTAGTCCTTGTTTTTTATTGTCAGCTTGTTTGAGCAGGCGATAGTCTGTCAGTTGATAGTTGATAGAATTTGTGTATTTGAGTGACTGAATTGATCTAACTGTTTGGCATTTAAAGGATTTGGTATGTGTTATAGGGACCGTATTTCCTATATTTAGGAAACAAAGTGCTATGTCACATCCACCGAGGAGTAGAGTGGAAGTGGTAGTAATCATAGTAATAATGTTTATAATTATAGTAGTGAGTTTTGCTTCATTGCTGGGAAGCAAACTTCATATGTGAGTGCTATAAGTATTCCATTGAGGATCTGACTTAGCAACTTCTTTTCTAGAAACGCAGTGAAAACATGTTATTTCGGGTAAGACACTATTATCTCTGTCCCTTCCTTCCTATGTAGGACAAAGAGCTGCACTAGATGATCTGTACATTCAAGTTCAATACTAAAGTTTTATAACTTCAGGATCTGAGTTTCCTCCTGATCTCAGGAATTTGAAGAATTCTATTTTTAACTTTTCCTGTTAGGTAATGACTAACAAGTTATCTTACACAGAGCAGCCAATAAATGTAGTTGAGTGAATAAAAGGTATATAAAGTATTAGAGCAACATCAACTTCACCCTCATTTAATACCTATTAATTTGGCATCAGGTACATGCTGGATACTGATCTGTGTGCCTGGGGACCAAGGAGTAAATTAGGATTAAAGTCCCTTTCCTCATGTAGTTTACAATCTAGGGGAGAAAGATGGATATAATAAACTTGTAAAATAACAATAGTTTTGGATAGTATACATGCTCTGCAGGATAATGGGAGAGACCAGAGGTAAATTATAATGTGTATATAGACAGGATGGCCAGGGAAGGCCACTCTGTTTTATGAAGATCAAAGGAAAGAATATTACAGGCATTAGAAAAAAACAAAAGAAAGGTCTTTCAGTCAAAAATGTAAGTTGTTATTATCAAGGGACAGGTAGTGAGCGAGGAAGTGGTCTGAGGTGAGGCTGGAAGTAGGCATGTCAAGATGGTGGTGGGTTTTCTAAAACCCAGACATTTGGATTTTGTTTAATTTGCAATGAGAACATTTGAGGAAGTCTTAAATATATGCCTAATTCTCCTGTTATATCCTGAGATTCTGCATGTTGAGTCATACTTAGCCAAAGAATGTCTTTCCCTCCCTTGTGTCCTCAGTGATACCCTATTACTGTTTCTGAAACTCATTTCTAAAATTACTTCATTAAAGCAGAAATGAATGCCTTCCCCTGCTCATGAATTGAGGAATGTAGTATTTCCAAAGGTCACTTAGAGGAATGAGAAGCAAATAGGATAAATTCCAAGAGGAGATAAAAAATTTATTTGTAATCTATTTTTTTAAGAAAATTCAGCATTTATACACTCTCTTTTCATTTAGTGAGATTTCTGGAACAGTGAGAGTCAAATCCCTATTTTTATGATAGGGAGGTAACAGATAATATGATTTCCCTTTAAGATTCCCCTTCATATGATGAATTGAGGTAGAGTACAGATAGTCTCATCATAGAAATGCAGATTTTATTTTATAATGGGATGAAGGGACATTCTAGATATGACCTCATACTGCAACAGAGAGAGGAAAGCTTAAAGTGCATTGCTATACTTTCATAAGAGTTTTATTATACAATAGAGGGTGTCAGTAACTTTTGAAAGATAATTGGAAAGTTGATTTATGTCTACTATTAAAACTTACCTTTAGTGGGGTAAATCTTGTGTATAATGATAGACGTTGTCCAGCTTGGTGCAGTTTTTCCTGCCAAAATATGAAAAGATAAATTATCGCATATAAATGATAGTGTACTGGTTTGAACCAAAAAATAGTAAAACCAATTTTGTATTTTGTTATAGTTTGGGTGTGTTTTTAGGGATGTTAGTTAATGCTTTTGAAGCCTCTGTTTCCTCAACTGTGAAAATAAAATTGAACCAAATAACTTCTAAAGAGGCTTATAGTTCCAAAGTTCCTGTGATTCTGTGTGATCAACACTGATAAATGAATTATGTAAATAGTAAGGAGAGTAGAGGAAAGGGTGTTTCTGTTATAACTATGAATCAAGAATGATGGAAGAGAACAGAATAAGTAAATTTTAAGATGCAAGACTCTTCAAAGATGGGTCAGTTAGAAATAAGCTTTTATAAATAATAAGAAATCATCTTAAAATTTGCAATGTTTGTGAATTAATTGGAAACTAGGTTCCATGAACATTCCCTAATAATGCCCCTTTCAAAGAAGTTTCTGGAAAGAAAACTCTGCACATGTGATTGCCTCCTGTATATATTTTGACACTCCTGTGACCCGAAGCTGGTTTTATGACATAGTCATAAGTAGTAAGCATTTCTGTGTTTCTTACCTTTCTTCTAGTCCTGAAGTGCTCAATAATCCAAAGGCATATCAGAAAATAAAAGTGGAGTTCAAACTTGAGAAGGCAATGAGGATTGAATCTGGTGACACTAAATTTTCTTGGGTTTGGGTTTGTGTGAAGGTATTTATATAGGAAGTTTGACTATTGCAAGCTGAGTTGATATCTTGTATGAGGAATATTTATCCAAAACTGACTTGGAGTTGACAAACGTGCATAATAAATGCCAAGTGGCTTAAAAGCTATACATTTATCATTGGTAGTTGCATCTGAAGCAAACTAAATTTTATAATTTCCATTAAGTGACACGTAGGATTTCAGTGTTTATAATAAGATCCAGAAGAGTTGATGTTTTGCTGTATGCTTTTAATTGTTTTAGAACAAACTAGACAATGAAAAGGTCAAGTTTAGGAAAAGAAAAAAAAAAAACCTCTCTAGATTGCAAAGAAATCAAGGCTATATCCAAGTACTCTATTTTTTCAAGACATAATCCAAGACCTTTTTCTTTTTTCTCTAAATACTTTCACTAGGTACCATGTCTAGGTCTAGGATTCCTTACACTGATGTCACTGGCCCAGGCCTCTCGGCCAAGATCCAGACTCATCTATGACCCTGCCTGCTCAGCATCTGTGTCTCAGTGCATCATTAGAAACTCAACTCAGCATGGTCACAACTATACTCTTCTACTCATCCCCCTGCTACCCGATTCTCTTCTAATTCCTTATCAGAAAAAATGATATACCATTCACCCAGGAGCGTGAACCAGAAAACTTACCCTCATCCTTCACTACTTCACATCTACTTCATCATAATCTCCTGTGTTTGTTTGTTTGTTTTTTTAAACCACTGTACAACCTTTGAATCTGTCTATTCCTTCATGGCCAGTTTCCTTCTCTGAGCTACCCTATCTCTCATCCATACTGCTCCAATAGCCCCTCCCTCATCCTCTATGCCCACTCTTGTCTGCTTCCAATATGTAGCCAGGAGCCAGAGAGGAAATTTTAAAAGGCAAATATACTCATTCACTCTCCTTCTGAAAGCCTGGCAAAAGTTCCCCATTGTCTACTAGGCTAAGGTCAAAATGCTGGATCTGGTTTCCATGTCCTATGTGATCTGGCCACCACCTGCTTCATCAAACTCAACTTGATACATCAAGTTCCTTTCACACTTGGGGCCCTAGCCACCTTGAGCTATGAATTTCTAAAATATGCTATATTCTTTCCTGCCTGCAAGCCTTCAAAAATGCTGTTTGCTTTCCTTGAAACACTCTTTTCTATTCTTCAAATTGACTCTTGTTAGTCCCCAGTGAGCAGTTAATTCCTATTTATTATTCCACCCAAATATCATTTCCACAGGGAAGCTTGTTTTGACCTTTTAGAAAAGGTCACCTCTCCTTAATAAACACTCTCTTATGCTGTAGCTTTTAAAATTAATTAATTAATTAATTCAACAATTAATGGGTGCCTCTAATGTCACATACTCTTCTAAAAGCTGAGGATGGAATGAGGGGAGACTGATAACAATCACAGGGCAAAACAAACACAATAGTTTCATACAGTGATGAAGATTATAAAGCAAATTAGATTAACTATTGTGCTAGAGAATGACTTGAGAGAGGTACTTTGGGTTTGAGATTGAATTTCTTAAGTGATCATCTATTTTGTCTGTTTCATGTTCATCTTCTTTGCAAGAGCCTATGTGCCCAAGAACTGGGACTTTGTTGCACTTGCTCACATGGTTTCCCAGCACTCAGTGTGGTGCCCAGCACATAGCAGATTCAATAATTATTCCTGAATGAATGAATCAACCTATAAGTTTTGTAGGGCCACCATTACAAAGTACACAAACTGGGTGGCTTAAGGCAAATAAATTCATTCTATTTATTAGTTCTAGAGGCTACGAATCTGAAATGAAGGTGTTAGTAGGGCCGTGCTCCCTCTGAAGTCTCTGGGGGAACAGACTTCTGTGTGTCCTCCTAGTTTCTGGTGTTTGCTTGCAATCTTTGGCATTTGTTGGCTTGCAATTAGCTGTATCCCTCCAGTCTCTGCTTCCATCATTACATGGCCTTCTGCTCTGTGTCTGTCTCTTCTCTTTGTCCCAATTTTTTGCTTTTTTTATAATGAAACCAGTCATTTGATCAGTATGATCATATCCATTCTAATCCAGTATGACCTCATGACTTGATTACATCTGCAAGATCTTATTTCCAAATAAGCTCACATTAATAGGTATGGGGTGGGGGTTAGGATTGAAGCCTATCTTTTGGGGGGACACAATTCAATCCACAATGCCTATTTCTTTAAGTTAAAAGAAAATTGAGAAAGCTTATATTTTAAGAGTTTTTGTAGTGTAGTTTTTTTCTGGTTTTATTAAGAAGTAATTGACTTAGATCGTTGTATAAGTTTAAGGTGTGTAGCATGATGGCTTAATTTACTGTAGTGCAGTTTTTAAGACTTATTTTTAAGTAAGTTGTATATCACATACAAACATTTGAAAAGGTATTATATTGTACTTTGTGTACGCATGATAAATTATTTTTGATTTATTCTAGACTATTTGGTTGAGTCCTAACCACACCAATATCCATGGCATTCTAAAAAATCAATACCATGATATGAACCAAATTCATCTTATGTTCTCTATTCCCCTGGCAGACAAGAACTTACTTCTTCATTTATTAAAAATAAATGAATGTGGAAGGATATTCATGACACTTGCATCATAAAAATTCATACTGACATTTTTGCAAAGACTATGTGTGAAATGTTGACATATTTTTGTTGTAAAATGACAGTTTTAGTGCAAGTTGTTCTCATTGTGACCAAGGAGAAAGAGCATACAAAAAGAAAAGAATAAGTTGCTGTACTACCCACATGTGATGTGAAGCTGTCAGGCCACAAAATGGCAGAAGCACTTTCTAAAAAGGTGGAGTTCTTTTGTGCATGATGCAAGGGAAGGGTCACTAATATTGTCTGCTTTATGCCATCTATCTTAGAAAAGTCATTCCTGATTTTTCCATCAAATGCCATCTTGCCCTACCTTGAACTCCATTTTCACTTTTTTTTTTTTAAAGTTTATTTATTTTGAGAGAGATAGAGACAGCACAAGTGGGGGAGGGGCAGAGAGAGATGGAGAGAGAGAATCAGGAGCAGGCTCTGTGCTGCCATTACAGAGCCCAGCGTGGGGCTCGAAGCTACGAAACCATGAACTCATGACCTGAGCTGAAAGTGAGTGGGATGCTCAACCAGCTGAGCCACCCAGGCACCCCACGTTTTCACTTTTTAAAATAGTTCTTTTAAGTGACTCTTTTACCTTATACTTATTGCTTACACTGTTCAAAATGCCTTCTGTATATTAATTCAGTCTTCACAACAAGCCCTGCTCATTACACAGTTGAAGAACTGAAACAGAAAGGTTATATGACTTGCAAGTTGGAGCTGAAGTCACACCAGAGTAACCCTTGGGTCCATGTTCTTACCCACCATGTTATATACTGAGTGGATTTTACACTTATTTTATACTCCTTCCAGATTACAAACTTCTGAGAAGTTGGCCACTATGTCTTCTCATATTTGTATCTCCCATAAAATCTAGCTCAGTATCTTGTGCATAACAGATACTCAAGAAATGTTCACGTGTAAATTTAAATTAGGCCAAGTCTATTCAGTGTCTGGATCTCTTCCATATCATGGTTTCCATGAAAAGAGGTTCATTTGGAAAACTAGAATCCTGAATAGATGTAAGTACAAGAAGGAAACTGACAAATGCTGGTTCTGGTGGTTCCAGCGTTCATCATAGGTGCTTCTTTACTCCCTAGAATTCACCCACCAGCCACAAAAATGTGCACTTGGGTGAGATCTCAAGTGTTTTCACCCAGAATAGCTTGAAGTGTTACTCTCTTCAAGAGTATTTGTATTTTGGGGCACCTGGGTGGCTTAGTCAGTTAAGTATGTGACTTTGGCTCAGGTCATGATCTTGTGGTTCGTGAGTTTGAGCCCTGCATCAGGTTCTGTGCTTACAGCTCAGAGCCTGGAGTCTGTTTCAGATTCTGTGTCTCACTCTCTCTCTGTCCCTCCCCTGCTTGTTCTCTCTCTCTCTCTCTCTCAAAAATAAATAAACATTAAAAAGATTAAAAAAAAAGAGTATTTGTATTTTTACAGGAATTAATCATTTTAATAATTTTTGCCATCAGTCAATAGATGAGGAAGGTATTTATTTGTGCAGAAGAGCTAGCCCCAAACTGCAGAGACTATACCCATTTTTATTTAAAATGTCATTTTATAGGTCTGTTGGTAACTTTGGCACTTATTTGCACACTCTCTATATACAAATACAAGATTAATTAAAAGCAAATAAAAGCTTTAATCTTCAAATTTAAATCTGGAAGTTCTGAAAT